ACACTGTCTTGGTTATCATAGCTTTAGAGTAAAATTTGAAATTGGGAGTTGTGAGTTCTCTATCTTTGTTCTTCCTTTTCAGGATTGTTTTTGCCATTCTGGGTCCCTTGAACTTCCATGTGAATTTTAGAATTACCTTGTTAATTTCTTCAATAACAGCTTGTTGGGATTATGAAAGGGATTGTGTTTAATCTATATATCATTTGGAGATTATTACTGTTTTAATAATATTGTCTTCCAATCCATGAACATAGCCTGTCATTCCACTCATTTAGGTCTAATTTAATATCTTTCAACAATGTTTTCTGGCCTTCGGAGTACAAGCTTTACACCTTTTTTGTCAAATTTATTCCTAAGCATTTTATTCTTTTCACCTATGGTACACATAGGTTTTTCTTAACCTCATTTTTGGATTGTTCATTGAGAAATACAACTGATTTTGTGTATTGATCTTATATCCTAAAGCCTTGCTGAACTTGTTCATTAGTTATAACAGCTTTTAAACTGATTCCTTGGGATTTTCTAAACTCAAGATCATGTCATTTGCAAATAGAAATATTTTTATTTCCTCTCTAATCTAGATGCCTTTCATTTCTTTTTCCTGTCCAAATGCCCTGGCTAGAACCTCCAATACAATGCTGAAGTGTGGAGAGCTGACATCTTTGCCTTGTTCCTGACGTTAGAAGCAGAGACACTGCATTAAGTGTGATGTTAGTAAGTTTTTCACAAATGAACTTCACAGTTTGAGGAAGTTCCTTTCTATACCTAGTTTGTTGAGTGTTTTTATCATGAAAGGGTGTTGGATTTTATCAAATATTTGTTCTGACTTATTAAGATGATCCTGTGATTTTTGTTCTTGGTTCTATTGAAATGGTGTGTTATATTAATTGATTTTTGGTAAAATAATTTTGCATTCCTATGATAAATCTCACTTAGGGTATATAATCCTTTTTATGTTACGGGATTGATTTGCTACCATTTGGTGGAGGATTTTATCTGTATACATAAGAAGTTTTCTTTTTCTCCTGATGTCTGGTTTGGGTATTCGGGTAACACTGGGCTGATAGCATGAGTTGGAAATGATACTTCCTCTTGTTTTTAGAAATAGTTTATGAAGAATTCATGTTCATTCTTCCTTAAATATGTGGTCATATTTTGTTTTTAACTTTTTCTACTTGTACGTTTTTCAAAAGTGCAACTCTGACCGCTGCCCGGGCGCAGGAACAATCCCCTCTGCCCGGCGCTGACCCGCGCGCGGGACGAGCCTGGAGCCCGCAGCAGGAGCGCCC